TTGTGTCCACTTTGCCGACCCAAACGGACATAATCCGGATAAAGCAGACGTCTGTCTTGGGGTCGTCCAACAACTGTTGGAGTCGGCCTTAAAACACACAGCCATAGCCATAGAGCAGGTTTTAGAGCATCTCCAGCCGCGCCCCAAAATGCCCCCCAAGGCCCTTTTTCGTCGCCGGCGGAGAAAATTCGGCCCAGTCGCACCCACATAAGCCCAATTTTCACTAGTTAGAGCCGATTTTGGCGCCGGTGGACCCAGGCCGAACCCGGCGCAGTGGGGGGCGTCCGGGGGCAACGGGGGAAACATTTTTGGCGTGAAAAGGAGTGGGTCCTCCGAGTCAGTGAATCGCCGCCTTCGTCGTCCTCATCGCCTCGGTTCCCACGGGAATCAATGCCAAGGCCGCCTCGCCGGTCAGCCTTCCAATGATGCCTCACAGGCGGCGCAGTGAAAGCGTGGCGACATGCGTCCCCTCCCGCCACGCGGCACATGGTGGCAGCTCTCCCACCGCCCATCTGCAGCTATAACCGTCTTCCCTCGTTGGTGAATGCACAAACTCTCGCCACCGACGCCCTTCTCTCTACCTCTCGCCGCCGATGCCTCTCTCACCCACTCTCTCCCACGCCAACGTCAATGGTCGAGCGCTTCCTAGGAGACGACGCAGCGGCGAACGGCTTCGGTCGCCGCCATCTGCATGAGGTTGAGGCGCGCCTCCTCTATGAGGCCGACTACCCGGTGTCCCCGAACATGCGGGTGTCGGGCGCCTGGACGCTCAGTGCTGGCGGCGTCCCGGTGCCGCCTGCGCCAACCGGAGCGGCCCGGCGAGCCAAAATCCGGTCATCGCTGCCGGAGCCACATCGGAATCAGCCGAGGTACGACCCCGACAGCAACACGCTGTGGACGGCGTACTTCTAGCGGCGCCACGAGGAGCAAATTGCCGCCACCAACGGCGTCGAGCCCCACGGCCGCGACAACTCCGAGGGGAGGCGCCGGTGGTGGGGCGTCCCAGGCCGAACCCTTGAGGCCGTCCTTGAGCACATTGAGGCCTGGAGTACCCGGCGCCCCCTCCTTCTCTCGCTGCCGCGGCAGCTCCTGTATGCCACGGCGAATGGAGACGGCGACATCATCGTCGTCGGGCTCTGGCTCTTTGTCCTCCAGCTCGCCGGCACTTCGCTCTGTCAAGCCGGAGCTGCAGGAGACGCCACTAGGGCGCCGCATGCGCGGCGGCGCCCTTGTCTTCAACGTGGGCGGTCGCCCCTCTCCTTCCTACCGCCTCGTCCGGCCGAAGACCGAGCCAGGTTTGCTCCCCGTGAAGAAGGAGCACGAGGCCATGCCCGTCGCCTACGAGACCGCCCTCAAGTGGGTGAAGACGGACTACGTCCGCGAGCAGATGGAGCGCCAGCGCCGGGCCATCGAGGAGATCGCCGCTCGGCGTCGCGGACGCGAGGAGGGCGGCATGGTCGTCCTCGACAGCGACGACGAGGATGCGCCCGGGCCGTCCAACCCCCGCGCATCGGCGACGCTGGTCAGGGGTGCAGCAGAGACGGTGGCGATGATGACGGCGACGACAGCGACTACACCCGGTTCTACAGGCTCCTCGGCATGTAGATGGCGGGAGGCAGCAGTGGCTGGGCGTAGTCGTTTTTAGTTTGTGTTTTTAAACTTTTTGTATAAATGACAATGAAATCGTCTAGTTTAGACGAAATTGTGTCTTGTTTGACCGATTTTATATTCCAAAAGATGGCATCCGGGGCAACCTGGGTGCGGCGGCTGGGAAACCCAGTCACCCCATGACGAAACTATTGCCGGTCCGTCCAGGCGCTATCCAAGATGGTCTTACCCATGTTCGGCCCATTATCCCTGGACTAGGCCTGGCCGGCGTTATCCGAGAGCTCTGAAGGCTGCGCTGCTCATCCGAGAGCTGGAAGAATCGGCGGCGCACATGGAGGCGCAGCCGCGGGAGATCGACCTGCATCCTTCTTCCTCGGCGCCGGCGGCCGCTGCTTCCTCGTCCTCATCCTCGTCGCTCACGTAATACCCCCGTCCCCTACCTCGTCCTGTACGCCTCTTCTTTCTGCGTCCCATCCTGTTTCTCTTCACCTGCGGATGTTGCATCAGATCCGCCTACATCTGCAAGTAGGGATTAAGGCATAGATGGATTCTTTCTGCTTAGTCTCGAAGAAGAAAAGCAATCCAGATTGAGACTTTCCCTCTTTAGATCTCCAACATTGCAGATAATAATAGAGGGTGTCGGTCACCGATTCTCAATATGCTCTGAAATTCATATGTGCTCTGCTTTTATTTTTCTGTCAGCATGGACACTTACCAGATACAGTATTTGTTTGAGAAATACTAGGCGATTTTGGTGTGTAATCTGTATGAACAAAGATCTACAAGAAACTTCAACAAGCCGTCTATCTAGCACGTATTATATACATATATAACTTCCCCATATAATTTATATCCAGTTTTTTCATCATTGTTGATCTTAATCTGAACTTCTCAGGAGCGACAACTCAATGCGATTAGTACCTTTGTTCAGTTCAGTGTATGATGGGAACGTAGTGTGGCGTTGATGTCCTAACGACACGCATCACTCATGTTTTTTAGAATATTGGTAGCTCATCTTGGTAACTCCTGTTCTTTTTTATACAGTTATACCTTGTTTCGCATGCCCTAACCTTTTTCTTGAATTTGCTGTGTCGAACAGGGAGAGCGCCATCGTGCAAATAATGGCCAACGGGACATGTTCTTCTTCTGTCTCCTCACTCTTTGCTTCATCTCGGCCACAAGGATGGGCAGAGCTCCCGGACGACCTGCTCCGACCCGTTGTCGCTCTACTACGTTCGTTCCGTGACCTCCTCGCCTTCGGTACCACTTGTCGTCATTGGTGTGATCTCCTCTCAGCACACAGGTCCTCTGTCCAGCCTCTGCTCCTCCACCCCAACCTCCGTACCGACGGTGGACAGGCTCTCTCGCATAACTGTTGGACCTTATTCCACAAATGCACATGGAGATTGGGTGACCCTGCTGCCACATCATCCTCTCGCAGTTTTCTCTCCTTGAGTGACCTCAGAAGCATGACCTTTCTGCGCTACTCCTACGGTCAGCTCATCTTCTATGACAACAATGGGTTCCATATTGTTAATCCATTCAGTGGCGCTAAGTTTGGCCCTCCCTCCCTGCAGTCAATTCAGTTCACTTGCATCAGCTATGTCACCTTAACTGCCCCTGTTGCATCTGCTGACTCGCATCTCCTTGTCGGTGCTGGAGCCTATCTGTTCCTGTGGCGCATCGGGAGTGACTCTTGGACAAAACACAGTCCTAAAGTTGGTCATTTTTGATTGAAGAAAATGTGGCCTTCAAGGGCAAGACACATGCCCTAGGGTCTTTCGGGTGGTTCTACATCATTCACTTGTCACCCAGTCTCATTGTTGAGAAGTTTAAAGTTGTGTTCGAGGAAGATAAAACCGAAGATCTCTATTCGGCAAATGAAAAAGCATGGCTAGTGGTGTGTGGTGACGCGCTTCTCTTGATCAAACTTGTGGAGGCGGGAAGACGGATGCGCTCGGAGGCATTCCAGTTCAGGGCCTTCAAGCTTGAGTCCTTGGACACCATGACCAAGAAGGCAAAGTGGGTGAAGGTGAACAAGTTAGATAACTGGGCCATCTTTATCAGCATTGACGAGCGGTGCGAGGCGTTGCCATGCATAAACCCGGAGGGATGGGGAGGGAGGAGCAACCACATATACTTCCCAAGTTATCAGTCTAAAAAACCTTGGGCTGCAGTCCAACTATGGAAAAAATGTTATTACCATTCGACACAGCTCTTCAACACTGGAAGACGTTACCTGAAATTGGAGTCAACCTGGGTCTTCCCCGCGTGTTTCCTTGTTACGTCCTGCGACGATCTTACGGCCGTGAGTGCGGTTGATGATTAGCTTCTGATACAGCTTTGGTGGGAGGATTCTACTATGTTGCAGTAGCAAGATGAGTAGTTCACTGAATGTTCTTGACGTGTTTCAAAACTTGCATTACAAACAGAAGTGTAGATTAAGTTACCAGATTATGTACTTTCCTCTTTTTTTCTGCGGCAATTACAAGGGACCCATATGTTTTATTTCTCATTTATTACAGATTGTGGATTTTTCTTGTACCTGGGCACTTGATAACATGGGCTAGGCCTGTAACTTCCCTTTCATACATAGATAGCTAAGAGTAACTTGTCTCAAAAAAAAAAGCTAAGAGTAATTGTACTATGGTTGTTGATTATTCACGTGATGTGCTTGAGCATATGACTATCTCATTGGGTGGAAATGTGAATGTTTATAACATAGCTTGGCAGAGCTACAATTTTGGGCTGGAGAGTTGCAAGGTCACCAAGAATTAAAGTGAGGATGCAAGTCCATAGACATCAGGTTAATATAGACTGCAAGTTCAGCCAACAAACATATAAGCAGCATATATGCATTCATCACAAAGTTTATATTTTGCACCAACAAAAATTAGGCAAACAGAGTGTTCGACAACCAAACAGATCTGCATTTGAACATAGCTTCAACAAACAGCTCTGTGTGCATTTGATTGTCTCTGTTTAAAAGGAGATCAAGCTACAAATAGATGTATGGACCAAACAAAGCACATAACTAAAATAAAAGCCCAGGCACATCTGACATGGTGCACACAAAAAATGCTGAAGAGTGATATGAAGACTCAAGAAGCTAGTATTGTTTCAAGATGCAAACCCTTATCTCTTGTATGCAAAAGGGAGTAATTAACAAGGTTCAGCTAAAACAGCAACATGTAGCACAAGTTTTGCCTCCAGGAATGTACACTAGGTGGCAAACAGAGATTATTACAAATCTTTTTTGAAAGGAATTATTACAAATCTTGATGTACTCCGTCAAAGGAGCGGAAACTAGAAGGAACATAGCGACAAAAAAGTCCCCAAGTGCAGCCAACGACAACAAGACAACTGCACGGTACAGGTACAACGACACGTTCTCATATCCAAGCTGCAAAGGATGTAGGATTGCGAGCAAGATGAGCATTGATCGTCGCAAAACAAGGTTCTGGCTCCAACTCCTCATGTTGATTGCCATCTACTGGGTATGAAAATACTCGAGCGTTTTCATCCAATTGATAGACAAGGCCACCCCTTAAACCCATTCTCTCTGGGTTCACTAAGAGTCGTGGCTGTCCAGTACGTTTCTCGCCCAAGAAGAACGCCCACTTCTTCAAGCCTCCCTCTTCCACGATCACATACTTTGCAGGTTCAGTTGAGAAGTCAATGGAGAAGACTTCCCCGTTACGACCAAGTAGGAGAAGTGTGTCTTCACAAGCCACCAAATTTCCGGAAAGCACGTACGGGTCCATATAATCTCTGCAATCAAGTCTTAGTAGCTCAACATGAAACTGAGGTGTCAAATGCACGGTGTATAGTTTTTGACGCATCCTCATAATGACCCGGCCTTTGAAGGACACCATCTCCTTGATCAAATGTGCATTTAGAAAGTCGCAGTGCAACCAAGAGGGGCTCCCAACTCGCCAAGCATACAGGCAGTGCGGGCTGCTGACAAATAGATATGAATCTGGTGACGCCTCCGGAGATATGAAGGTTCTATAGCATAGTTGACTCAATGGAAAAGGTGGAGCTGCAACCGTAGTGCCAGTGAGCACGTCCATAATGACAAGGGATCTCTCGTAGCAGAATATAGCATGACCATAAGAACATTTGACGACTGCCATTTTGTCCAAAATACTTGGAGGGGTCAAGCGACACAACGGAGCACTTGGATATACAGGATCAATGAGCTCCCATATGTTTCCAATGTTAGAGCCAGCTGAGCTTGTCTGGTCGGCACAGTTCCGAAAAATAACAGGTGGGAAGAGCTCGCCTAAGGTAGATTTGATTGACATGAATGCGGCATACCAGCCAGGGCAGGTGGCGATGAATGCAAGAAGGTCACGAGTTGAACCCAACAGGACAATGATGGAGTGCAATAATCCATGTGGTAGGTCCGCCCAGCCTTCGGGTCCAAACATGACACGGTGCACGGAGATGGGGGTGTCGGAGCTCCGGTTGATGTTTTGCATGATATCAGCTTCAAATTCTGCATTAAGGATCATGAAAGGACAACAATTTTAGCAATGGACCTGAGTTAACTATATAATATAAATTGCTATCACTATTTTAATTAAATTGGTACTACTACAGCTATGATAATTATACAAACACAATAAAAATGTTTGTAGAAACTATAAACATAATACACAGTAGAGCAAAGACTACAGTATTGCCATCGAAATGTGCATCTGCCGCAAGAAAAGGCAAGTTCTGTATTTTTCTTTCCACCGAATGTTATTTATATGTGTTGCACAACAGGTTTGGCTCTTGTCTCCACCTCGATTCCGGGCCCACAGATACGCGATAAATTTCATCAACATTTGAAATTAAAAAGTGCAAACAATATTGAAATTCTAAGATTGTTCTACACTGATAGTGGTAAACCCTTGAACTATTTCATATTTTCATATAGTATAAACACAACAGGATCGCACATCCACCAACAACACATACACTCAGATCCCCAAATCATCCATGGCAGAGTCAGGCTAACAACAACAAAAGTGTGATGAGCGTAGAGGTTGCCCACAGTGGGGGTTATGATGGGCCAAGGAAGATGATCCTGGGCAGCCTTGCACGGTTGAGAACTCTGTCTGATTGTGGACCGTGGCACCGGTCAGCAAATATATATACTCGGCCAACCCATGAGACCATGTCCTACATGGAAATTGACTTAACCTAGATCACATTGTATACTACATATTTGGACTCAAGCTTGACGCAAACACGTGAACTCCTACTAGTACATGTACATGACTTTGGTTAGTTCCCAAAGAAATAAGGCCACGTGACATGCAAGCACCAACTACATCATGTTCCAAACAAAACAATCAAGATTATGCTAACACTAGCGTCGGCCACTGCACCACCAATGGCTGTCATGGGTTCCCAACTCCAGTAGGAGGTGGGGAAGGTCTCGTCCATGATACCGGCAATCACTCCAAAGCTGCTTGTATGTACAACTCAGAGCAAGGGGGTAGAACTCGACATCAACTTGGTTCCTTCCCTTGCCGGGGCTGAACCCGGAGGGCGGAGGTGATTCAAGGTCAGACCTCCTCCATGAGTCCGGCAGGAGCAAGGAAAATGAAGTGGGCGAAGTCAACCTCAACAAGGCTCCTCCCCTACCCCTGGAGCCAGTAACATGAAAGCCAAGCACCACAAAGATAAGAATAGCCACAATGGTAAGCCAGGGAAGTAAGTTGATCAATCCCTGGTGAACACCGGGGCGGTGTTGGGTGAATGCATGGGACGTGACAGTGAGTCTTGTAGTGAGTTTGTGGTGACACCTAGTTACAAGGGTCCTGGTCTGAACAAGAAGGCATGAGGTGAGGGTAATGGAGGTGGAATGAGCAACATAGGTGTGTTAGGCGGTAAGGAAGCTATCGGCCCATTGGTTGCCGATAAATGACATGTGATAAGGAAGGCACCTATCAGGAGAAATGAGTCGCCTGATCTAGAATTGTTGGGGCCTCGGGCAGTCTCGGATAGTTGAAGAGCTAGTTTGCCTCGTGCACGCATATACCACTTGATGATCGTTTTACATTCTGAAACTCAGCAATGTGAAAGGAGTTTCAATAATCTTAGTTGGATGCTAGGCCGCCAGAATTGTATTGTGCATGATGGTAAGGGCAAGGGTGTGTTGCGTTGTTGTGAGATAAATGAACTAAAACAAAAAGATTGTCATATACCTGAGGTACATCAATGTCTTAATTCATGATGATTCCCAGGGACCGAAATGTCGGGCTACATGGTGAACCTAAGGAGTAAGGAAGACGTCAAATCTGCAGTTTACTCAAAAGAATAAAGCCAGATGCTCATGAACACTTGTTGATGATAGGTGATTTTTATGAGACGATGTGTGGTGGCATGAGCACTTTTCAGTAGCTTGGATATTCGAGAGAAAAAAATCAATTTCAGATAAGCCTTGTTCTAGTGTGATCTTCATAATTGGGGCTATAAGGGGCCATCCTGGACATACAATAATAAACAGTGTGGTAAAAGCAATGTGACCATCGGGTTGAAAGTGCAGTTGCATCATCTGGTTGGTGTGATTTATTCAGAGTGAACAATGGTACGTACATATGCTCCAACCACTTTCCTCTATGGCTGCAATACAGAGATAGACCAAGGTGCATAGCAACGTGAAATCCTTCCGGTATGAGTAGATATGTGAAAGAGTACCGTCGCCGAAGGGAACTACTAAAATCCCTGGCCGATGACTGCACTAAGCTGGGAGTACTGCAATAGGATGTTTGGTCCTGGACATGAAAGATTTTGGGTCCATGATAAGCAGTACTCACTGGCTTAGAAGGAATATTGTAGTCACATACTGAATGCAGCATCTTATTGGTTGCGGATGGTCGGGAAAACATCTTAAGAAAGCAGGTCTTGGATGGGAGGTTAATGCCTATCAAAATTGTTGGGGAAGCCTCGGTGTCTCTAAACTAATGTTTGTTGATGACAGCCTTTTGTTCTTCAAGGGCGTAGGAAGAGAGGTGAGGGTAGTGAAGGACACTCCAAATCTATTTCAAAGGTGTACATGATAGCCTCTTAGTCCGGCTAAATGCTCTTTATTACTTAGTGAACATTGCTCGCCCCATGTCCAGTAAGAGATAAAGGTCGCCCTTGGTGTTGTGGCTTCCACTTTTGAGAGTAAATATTTGGGTTTACCAACCCCAAAAGGTAGGATGTTTGCCTCGAATTTTAGTCGATCATGGAAAGGTTCACAAAAATGTGCAAGGACTGGATTGAAAAGTATATGACCCATGCAGCTAAAGTGGTCTTAATCAAGTAAGTGGTTCAAGCGCTTCCCAATTACTTCTTTGGATTGTTCAAATGTCCTTGGGCTTTTTTGATAAGTATGAAAATTTTATCTGGGACTTTAGGTGGGGCGATGAGTAAGGACATCACAAGGCCATTTGGCTCTCCTGGTACCAACTTATAAAACAAAATAGAGGAGGTGTTCTAGGATTCTGGGATATGCATATGTTTAACCAAGCTCTCATGGCAAGGCAAGGGTGGAGACTGGTTCAGAAGCCGGATAGTTTATGTTCCAGAGTCTTGAAATCAGAATATTATCCTTGTGGGATATTCTGGACATAGTCATTTCCTCGTATGCATCCCCGGCTTGGAGTTAAGATACTCGAGGAAGGCATCATCTGGCGTATAGTGAATGGACGGAAAATTGAGATTCAGAGAGACAACTGGATTCTTGAGACAGTATGGCCTCAGATTGCCAAATTCGCTAGAAACTCAAGGTTGAGGTGTGTTAACCAGTTGATTGTCTCGATAAAAAATGAATGGAATATTAACCTTGTCCCTAGGCTATTTTCTGATTTTTGATGTAGAGGAGATATTTCACATAAATCACCCTTCTATGTAAATGGATGGCGTGCTTATAAACTTTCCACCCAACTCAAATTCAGGTACAAATCCCCTGCTTCTAGCTCATCAAGTGCGACATATAATTGGAGTATTTGGGATGTGATTTGGAGAGATAAGGTTCCAGAGAAGGTTAAGGTCTTTGGCTGGAGGTTGCTACTGGCTCACTGGCTACACAATTGTGTAAATTTATAAAGGCGCTAAGTGTAACACTATTTGTGCTCTTTCTGGTAACAATGTGGAGCATGAATTCCAATCTCCACAGTGGCTTTGGGATGTTGGCTAGTGTCCCATCAATACTTCTTTTTTGAGGGAATTGGTGTCCCATCAATACTTAATGCCCCCATGTCTAATGATTGCAATCAGTCTATGGTAATATACAAGTCTAGTGTTTCCCTCAATTAAGTAAATTAAACACAACTCGAAGATCAACTAATTATGACCTTGATTTTTCTAGAAAAAAATAGGGTGAGTTCTTCCCTTACCTTCTTCGATGTTGATAGCGGAGGGCGAAGTGGAGGCAACAACTAAATTCTCCGATGCCAGTCGTGGCAAGACGTGGCCATCAGAGATAGTATGCCGCTTTCCTCCATCGCCAATCATCATGTTGGCTCCAGATCTGGAAAAAATGGTTGGTCGCCCACACCTAGGAGTCCAGATCTGGATGTAGTTGGTTGCCCAACTGCGGTGACTCCAAATATGTATGCGGTTGGTCGCCCACACCTAGGACTCCAGATATGGATGGAAACACAGTAGGAGCCCACACGGTTGTCTCAACACATCATCCACCGCTCAATCGTGGGTGGTTCAAGCGCAGTCTCGGCGTGGATGTCGAGGGGAAGGGGGAACGTGTGTCACGAGAGAGGGAGAGGGGGGGGAGAGAGAGAAAGAGAGCAGAGGAGGAGACTGGCGTGTGGGTTTGTTCATTATAGGTGCCAATGACCTTACCTCACTGACTAGACACCCGCGACTCCACTCCTAGACACAGGATGTCGGCGTGAGGTACTCGATGTTCTCCTAGAATTCTTGTAGTTGTTCGCCCATATTTTTATTCTTGTTTCTCCTTGTCAACCAAGACCCCTCTACTGAATTTCCCTTTGGCTTGAGAATGACGGTTGTGACCTCCATAACAATGCAACACTCGTCACCCGACCTCTCCTCTTTGTCATATGTGTCGTTGTTGCCGATGATAGCAAAGTGGACGATGCCAATGACGGTGATATCCGCTCTATGCCAAGGACAGGCACCGCATGCGAGGGAATATCGGTTATCCGACACCCACGACAGAATCCATAAGGACGTGTTTTCTTCCCATCGAAACCTTCTCTCCCAGCCGAAGATGGCGCCCCTCCTCGATTTTTTTGTCGGCATCCACAGAAGCAACTATCCTAGTGGTCTATCGATACCAAGGACACCCGAGCACCATTCAGATATGCTGCCAAGAAAGGCGATGGAGAAGCACGTTGACCATCAAACGTGCAAGGTAGGGGGAACCTGGTTTAGTAAACTGTAATAACGAGTTGTAGTGTGCATCACAATTATTGCATAAACACTCTTTGATTAATTATAAAAAAGAGGATAATTCAAA